TTTTGGATTTTCACTATCACACTTCGCTGGAGAGAGGGAGCAGAGCCGGCAGGAGACTCACACAGTGAGGAGGTTTGGGAAGAACTTGGGCCAGTTCTGGATCCTGGGGAAGGCTCTGATGGGTCCTCAGCGTCGGGCGTAGAGATAGAGCAGCTAAAGAGGCAGCTGCCTTTGGAGTCAGAGATAAGTGAGGACGAGGAACAGCTGGGCCCTGCTCCAGATGTGTGGATGTGCAGAGCAGATAGGAGAGGTGGACAACGATGATGACATGAACTAGCAGAATGAAGTAAAACACTGTAAACAAGGTAATAGTATGTTTTAATTAGGATGCCTGAGAGCCACATCAATACTTTTCAATGTGTAAAGTAATTGTGTTAAATGCTGATCATATAAAAAAATTGAGCATTTTGTGTTGATGGTATTTATAATTCCATTTCAATATACATAAAAAATAAAAAATACGGCATAGCAGTATACATGTACAATCATATTACCTTAAAATCCAACACCCCTCCTCCACAGCTTGTGGCAAATTCTATAGGTTGAGAATATATGAAGAAGTATTTATCTTCCCCGAATCTCCCATCATTGTTCATTTTATGATCTAAAGCAGTAGTTTTATAAAAGGAAACAGAAAAACCCTCTACTTTCAATACAGTCTTTTGGAGAATTGATAAAGCCTTTCCTGTTAGGAATTTAACCTGAGAATCTGCACATTGGAGTATGAATATTTATTTAAGAAACATAAGAATAATATAAGAAGCAACATCAGAAGACCTTTTTTGTTGATATTCAAAATTACATGAGTTTGGCAACCTTACACTGTAAATGTACAATAAAGATAAAATAAAGATGCAAGTTGTCCTCAACTTACAACAGTTTGTTTAGTGACTGTTTGAAGTTACAACAGTAGTGAAAAAAGTGACATGACATTTTTCACATTTATGATCATTTCAGCAATCCCATAGTCATGTGATTTACATTTGGATGCTTGACAACTGATTCACATTTATGATGGTTGCAATGTCCCTGAATTACGTGATCCTTTTTGTGACCTTCTTGCAAGCAAAGTCAGTGGAGAAACCAGATTCACTTAACAACTATGTTATTAATTCAACAACTGCAGTGATTCGTTTAACAAATGTGGCAAGAAAAGTCGTATTGGGGCAAAAAAAATGGGTCAAAACTCACTTAACAAATTTTTCACTTAGCAACATAAATCTTGGATTCAATTGTAGTAGTAAGTTGAGGACTAGCATTTACTGTATGTGTGCTATTGCTGACAATATAATTTCAGCTGTGTACTACACGCTGCCATACACTATTAAGGTTAAAGCCACATACTCTATTTAACAGAGCAGACTTTTGTTAAGTGCTGCCTTGCAATGTTTAGGTGCATCTATATTTGCTGTGATAGGACAGTTTTTTTCTTTTCAGTGCTGTGATAGCACAGCATTTTCTAGCAAACAGTAATGTGGATTTCCCAAAGGTGCTTTTTTTCAGGAGACAGCTGGGCCTTTTCTTTGAAGACATTTCACTTCTCATCCAAGAAGCTTCTTCAGCTCTGACTAGATTGTGGGGAATTAGATTGTCCCTGGAGACATGTGTAAAGAATATAAATCCTTCCGTTCCCCATCATCCAGTCAGAGCTGAAGATTTTTGGATGAGAAACGAAACATTTTCAAAGAAAAAGCAAGTCCAGTTGCCTCCTGAAGAAAAACACCTTTAGGACAACCATGACCTGGATGACTGAGAATCTCCATAGACTTTATTAATGTGAGTGACAATACAAGTAATAGTATCTAAAGAATGGAAAGAAAAGTGTTAGTGCTGTTGCCATTTTGAGCAGCACATTCTTAATCTTTCCCCTTAAAAAGAAAATCCCAGAGATTAAAAAAAGAGGGAGATACAGGTGCTTGGTCAAGAAGAGTTTGGTGTTGCATAAGAGCATCAGTATGGTTGAAAGCACACCCTTGGGTTGAGAGAGTGGTTGGCATCCGTTTTACATTAAACTTCCAGTCTTTTCCTTATGGAAGCACTGACCCTGGGATAGGGAATTGGGCATTAAAGTGGAAAATAAGGCCCCAAAATGATTGAGGTTTGTGAAGGGATGCTGTCAGAAATGCTTGTGTTCAAGAGAGTAATTTCCAGTGGCTTTGCTCCATCTTATTTTTTTCCCCACTTAAATTTTCATACTTTACTTGCCTTCTTAATGCTCTGTCACTTTCTCTTACTAATGACATTAGTAGAATGCTGGAATAGTTAGTTCCCTGTCATTTTTAAAAAAAGTGTATCAGCTCTAGTTTAGGTTTTACGCAATATGTCTATTCTTATTTCTGCTTGGTAATGAAATTCAATATGTCATGACCAGCAGTTGTAATTTTGCCGCATATGTGACATTTCTAAATACTTAATTCCATTGTTTATATGGTTAAAGTTGTCTCTTTTAACAGTTGCATAGGTTACCCGGCTCCTTTTATCCTCCTCTTTAATAGATTTAGCTAGGTTATTTCTCTTTCTGCGCTTTAGTAGTACTAATAACTTGTTTGGCTTCCCTCTGTAGATTCTTATAAACTTCTCAATCTGCATTGGATCAGAAAACTGGCCCGTAACTAATATGCATCTTCATAAAATTACTCAGAGCTTGTTAGTCAGATTTTTTATTATAAGTTTTCATTTTAATTCATCTTTTTTTTTAACTTCTAGGACACGTGTGTTGCAAAATGATGGAGAGGAATATATTAAAAGATATAGGCAATTGGAGGTAAAAGAACTTGAGGCAGAAGGTGGCCGCTGTTCTTCCTATAAACCAGGTATTTTCCCCACTTCTTATCTTAGAAATCCTGTCCAATCGTGCATTAAGCATAAAATGGACTGTGAAATGTGGCATTTAGGAAACATTGGAATAAGATACTGTATATGACGGAATGGCTCTTTTTTTTATCCATTTCATCAGCAAGAGCTGAGTATACCAGGAACGGAGAACATCCAGTGAAACTGGCTGAAAGAAATTAGAAAAGAGATGGAAGGAAGCAAGCACTTCTTCACATAGCCCTTATGCTAACATTTTGGATTCATTAACATAAGACACAGTTGTGACCACTAACTTGGGCAACTTTAAAAGTAAATTGAGTAAATTAATGGACAACTATGGACAGCTATTGATCTTTATAATACTATGCCTTGGCTATTTGATTAAGATCAATTGTAGATAACCTAAAATTACTTACTTGTCTATTTGGTTTGCCTCCCATCTTTTTTATGCAGGAACTCAGTATAGCATACATAATGCTCTTTCCTCCTATTTTCCTCCACAACAATCACCCTAGGAAGAGAGATTGGACTGAGAGACAGTGATTGGCTAAAACATTACCCATTGATCTAAGATGAAGCAGAATCGGAGTGTTCCCACTCTTAGTTCTATGTGTTTACTTAACAACCCATGATCCTTGCTTAATGACAGTAATAGGGACTGTAGGGATTGCCATTGCTAAGTGATGCAGTCACATGACAATGCACTTTATGACCACGTCATTTAGTGATGGAAATTGGTACCCCAATTGCTGCTATAACCTGAGGACTGCCTTGTAATTAACTAACCTGTAACTACACTGATCAGGCAGCTGCACCTTGTGTCAGGTTGTAAATGTGGAATTTTCTTTCACAACATCTCAATATAAAGTGAATTGTAGTAATCTCACTGAGATGACAAGAATGTGAACATCTGTTCCAGCTATGTAACCCAACTATCTGCTGGTTGATTTTACTGATGAAGCTTGTTACCATTTTTCTGTTTTACCATTCTACAGCCTGCATTAACACAACGTATTGAATCTCAAATCAAGCAATCTTACTTTATTTTAATAGAACAATTAGGAAATTAAAACAAATATTTTTGGGGCCACACTTGAATGCTACGTCTCAGACATGTCTCTCTATTTAATTAATATAATTAATGCATTAGCTGTACTTCCAGCAACATGAATTATTTATGTATAAGTGTGTCAAAGTGATAATTTAAGAGCTAACCAGCTGATGCAATGAGGGGAATGAGTCAGCAGAGTCTTTGGCTATTACCTCTTTAAGGGCCCGTGTAATAAGAGGAGACCCTACTAGAGTGTTTGTTGGTTTTCCTGCTGTAATTGCTGTTGATTAGATACTGCTTGTAGCATGTGTATGTATAGTATTCCTATATTCTTCTTGTAGATAAAAATCACTATTTGATACAAACCATTGTTGGCTGTACTTGCTCCTGTGTTAATACACGTGATGTGCACACTCTTGACAACATAGATTTTAAAAAAATGCCTGAATCTCAATGACTCGGAACATTTTACACTATAAAAAACTAGAACAACATATTAAAGAGCAAAGAGATGTGCACCGAGAGGAAGAATATTATGCCAAATAAAACATTTAATATTTTAAATAGTTTGGATCATTGATGTTACATTTAAAACCCAAGTAGATGAAATACTGATGAGTAAAAGCTAGGTAAAGATTTTGTGCATATAGAAATATAGAAAAGGAAATAAGCAAGGTGTGTCTTAAGTGGCAAATTCTAGTGATGAGTATAAGAAAACAGGGAAGTGTTTGGCAATATAAATGTTTATACATATTGTCACCTTCATTATGTCTTCTAATAGAGGGATTGGATAGGGGGTGGAATCCTATACTACAATTATTTATAATGTTTATTATAAGAATAAAGTGGGGTCCTGGGAATCTTTTCTGAAGAAACTGAAGATGAAAATGTGTATTAGCTTTAACTAGAACATAGATGGGAATAAAACACTTCCTCCATTTATGCAAGGCAGTGTTTTCCTGCAGTCCTGTTTGGAACTGTATACATTTATTTTAGTTTTTTAGTTAACCAACACATTTTTAGGCACATGTCAGTGAACTTCTGGGATCATTCTAGCAATGCTTGAAATATTTTTCTTAGCAGCTTGAAATATCTTCTAGCTCATTTGGTCAAATTGTACAGAGCTCTTGATGTTTCCATACTGACATCTTTGCATTTGCCAGGGGGTGGATACCAGCCAGTTCTATAATGTTGTGACAATATATATGAGTCGTTCAGAAGAAATGCATACTTAAAAATAGCCCAATATTAATAATAGAATTTTGTTATCAACACTATAACTCTTAACATAAGAATGGCTTATTTTTAGTTACCATACTATAGTAATTAGTTATCTTAGTTATTAAGCTCAGATATAAACAATTCACTTTACTTAAATTTACTGCATCACAAACAAGGAAATAGGGTTTTGCGATTTAGAACATGCCATGATTATAAGTCTGTTGGTTAAAGTTCTGGCTTGTTCTAAACCTCTAACTGTTTGAACAAGACAATGCACATTACTCTGAGTATATGTAACTTCTCTCTATTTAGTGTTGGTCAGATCATACCTGAATATTTCACCACGTTCTGAGCATTGTATTTTAGGAAGGACATTGTCAAACTGGAGCATGTCCAGGTTAGACAATTAAATATTAAATGAAATAACAAGCCTAGAAGAAACCATTAGAAACATTGGATTTGTTTTGGAGAAAATTATAGAGAGACATAATAGCTCTTTTCAGGTACTGGATGTCATGTGAAAGATAGAGGATGGTTCAGAGTTATTCCAGAAGACAGGACAAAAACATAATGGCTTAAATTACAAGGGAAGTATATTTGGTTGAATATCAGGAAAATATTCAAATTTGCTCTATACTGGAACATAGTTCTTCAGTAACTGACTGAATTAATTCAGTTGCCAGGGCCTAATACACTGAAACACAGAACAAACGTACTGGTTGTTGGGCTTATGTAACAGAATGAGATGCAAATCCACCAACTGCATTATAGGTATTCTTTTTTTAACCTCCATTTGTTTAGCGACCAGTCAACGTTATGGTGGTGCTGAATAAAGAGACTTTATTATTGGTTCTCAAAATTCTGGCTGTTGTAGCCCCTCTATGATAATGTTTCCAAAATTTGGGCCAGCCAGGGCCGTCTTTTATAAAAGAAGCCATATGAAAGAAGGCCTCAGCTATGCCGGATCAAAATAACCTTTCTAGCCTGATTTTGTGTGTACGTGTGTTGGCATAGCCAGAGCTATCTTTCATGGGCTAGCGAAAGAAACCCAGTGTATGAAAGAAGACTTGGCCGTTGTGTGGGTATGGCTTCAGGCATGGCTGGGTGGCAGGGGCAGTAAGTGGGTATCTAAAATGGATGTTTTGTCTGCAGAAGCATTAGAAGAGCTGTAGGCTGTTCACTGCACTTGAACCCTCCCCACCTATCTCCCCCCCCTGTCTCGGGGGGGGGGTAGGGAGGGAGGGTTCAAGAGCAGTGAACAGGCTGCAGTTCTTCTATTGCTTCTGCAGACAAAAAAAATCACTATTTCTGCTGTCTCTAATCCAGAACTATGCAAAGTAATTATGCAGTTGGATTAGGAAGATCCAGATTAGGCAGAGATTCAGATTCAAAGGACAAAATATAACATAGTGCCATGGGTGAACATCTGTGGCTTTTTCTGGAAAGTGTTATATGAAGGTAAACCCAAAACACCAGTGATTGATTATTTATGATAAAAGATCAAAATAATTAGTAAAGGATGCAAGTATAGTTTCTGAACTTGAGACTGACCACTTGGTAGTGCCAAAACTAGAACTTTAGAAAAAATGAAAAAAGAATGAAAGTAAAATTTGAAAAATGGAATGAAACCACAAAATATCACCTAGCAATGAAAATTGATGCTGTAGGTCAAGGACTACCTTAGTTGCAAGGAATGTATTCAGGAGATAAGGAACAATTAAAAGAGAAAACAAGCAGAATGATTTTGATGAAAATAAAGAAGAAGTTTTAAAAGTGGGTGAAAAATGAAGCAAGAAGCTTGCAGCAGAGTGAAGTGAATTACTAATAAAAGTGATGAAATTATTTCTGATGAAATAAGACTGCAGATATAGATGATATGAAGGGAAATAGCTGAACTAAAATGTTAATATGGCTTGCTTACAAATAGTTCCCTGATAGGAGTGAATGCAAAACACATAAGAGGATTGATTTTTGTTAAATGTTCTGAAAAGATGTTTGGCAGAATTCTGGTTTAAAGGACATAGAAGGGATGACTAAAGAGCAGCGTAGTGGCTTAGTAATGAAGCCGCTCACCTCCCACTTGGAAGATTGACAGATGTAGCAGCAGATGTTTGTCTCCTAAAGTGCAAAGAAAAATATATTTTGTATGGGAGTAAAAAAAGGGAGTTTAGAGGTGATGAGTAAAATTTGGGAAGTGTTTTTGTTGGGCATAGGGCAGTGATGGCTAACCTTTTTGGTGCTGTGTGCCCAAAGAGCGTATGCAACCCCAAAATGCAATGCGAGCACCCTGTGCACGCGCCCCCCTGCACATACGTTCACGTCCCCCCTTCCAGATGCGGAGGGGGGGGGGAACGACCGTTTTGGCTTTCAGGTTGGTGCAGGAGGCCTTTCAGGCCCAAAACAAGGCGCAGGGGGCATGCACATGTGCACGAACCCCCAAAATGCAATGCGAACACTACACACACATATGCCCTGCCCCCCCTGTGCATGCATGTGTGTCCCACCCACATGTGTCCCACCCCTGCACATGCACGTCAGGGACTTGAAAACCAGCTGGCCAGCGGGAGGCATGCATGAATGTGTGGTGGAGCTGGGCTGGGGCGACGGTTGCCGTGTCCACAGAGAGGGCTCTGCATGCCACCTGTGGCATGTGTGCCATAGATTCACCAACACGGGCATAGGATATGCAGATTTCCAAAGAATATAAGCCAAAGATTCCTTTGTTGA